GGCTGGGTGATTTGGGGTCAATCACCAGGAGATGGTGAGTTCTAGTTTCATCTTAGACATGAAAGCCCACAGGGGGACTTTGGGCCAATCACTCTCAGCCCAACCCACCTTGCAGGATTGTTGTTGGGAAAACAGGAAGAGGAAGGTGTGTTGCATAGGTTCACCACCTTGAGTAAAAATAATAAAGGCGGGATATAATAAATAGAGAGAGAGCAAGCCTGAGTAACGTTTTTCAGAACTCTAGGGAGATGATCCTGGGCTTGAGGCCTACTTCATGAGCCGCCATCTTGTTACCTTTGGACGGATGTGTTGCAGTTCTCCATTCTGCAGGCGCCACAGCACGTGCTGCGTGGCATCGCCCCCGATGCCAAAGTTGAGGGCATGCAGCGGGGAGAAAAGCTCCCTCCAAATCTGGAGAAGAGGAAGAAAGGCGAATGAGCAGATGATAAAACCAACGGGTCCATTTGATGATTTTTTCCAGAGTGTAGAGTTGTAATTGCAGGAATGTTCCAATCTCGGATGGCAAACCTCAGATAAAGAATGTTTCCAAGCAAATACAACTCAGGTAAACAAAGTCACTAATCTAAAGGAGGATTAGAGAGAGGAAGTAAACATATGTTAGACTTTAACTAGAGATAATTAATTGTATTAATTACTGTGCTAAACAGTAACGAAAGTTAAGCAGTAACCAAAGTTAACCAGTGATGGAGGATAACTAAAAATGTGTATAAATGCAAGACTAGACTCCAATAAAGATCATCATGATTCAGTTGTTCATGATCAAACAACTCGACTACCTCGTCATTACAACACCAGAGCCTCTTTACCTCAAACTGGTGCAGCAGCTGCACCAGGGAGTCCCCAATAAAGACGACTTCAGGTTCCTTGTCTTTGCTGTCGGCAATGAAACGGTGGTGCTGCAGAAAGCGAGAAAATTGGAGAGTTTTTTTAGTGGAATGACTTGAGAAGGTACATTTCTGGAAGGAGAGGGGAACAGCAGAGGAACAGCCCAGGAATTGGGATCCAAAGCAAAGTTCAGTGGATTGTTAACTCCAAGATTTTGACACATATATTGATATATTCCCATTTGGCTGGAAATTAGTGAATTGGACTATAGCCGAGTCAACTCAAAACTGCCACCAATATTTTGGCTCTTTCTTTTAAGTCAGGAGTCTCCAATCCTGGCAACCTTCAGACTTGCAGACTTCAACTCCCAGAATTCCCCAGCCAGCATGGGAGAGTAAACCCCGAGTGAAACAATCAGTGGAATGACTTCCCTCTCAGAAGGGTGATCCATCATTGGAGGTTTTTATGAAGAAATTGGATGGCATTTGTCTGAAATGGTATAGGGTTCCCTGCTTGAGGAGGGGGTTGGATTAGAAGACCTCCAAAGAATACAATAGAATAGAATTAGAATAGAATAGAAAATAGAATAGAATTGAATTGGAAGGGACCTTGGAGGTCTTCTAGTCCAACCCCCTGCTTAGGCAGGAAACCCGACACTAGTGGTCACCAACTGGTGGTCCAGGGACTATTGGTGGGCCATGAGAAAATTTTGATGGTCCGCAGAGAAATGTTCCGCCCAAAGCAATTAATCCACAGGAACACAAAGCTGGCCCCCACCCTTCGGCCAAGCGCAAACCTTACCTTGAGTAGAGCCACGCGAGCTGGAACTGGAAGGTAAGACCAACGGTGGGGGAGGGAAATCTGCCCCGGGGTGACTTGCTGACAGTGGGAAAGTCGGTCCCATATTCCAGAGCTGCAGTAGTCACAGGACTGGCCCTCCATCATCCTGGAGCAGCTCCTTCAGCCCATGGCAGGCCAGTGCACCTGGGTGGAGCAGCAGCTGCTCCGGGACGACCAAAGGGCCAGTCCAACAGCTCTGGAATGTGGGACCGTCTTTCCCACCAACGTCAGCAAGCCACCATCAGTCAAAATTCATATTAGTGCTCCGCGGGATTTAAAATTATGAGTTTGGTGGTCCCCGAGCTCCAAAAGGTTGGCGACCCCTACCCTACACCACTTCAGATAAACAGTTACCCAATCTCTTCTTTAACATTTCTAGTGTTGGAGCATTTACAACTTCTGGAGGAAAGCAGTTCCACTGGTTAATTGTTCTGACTGTCAGGAAATTTCTCCTTAGCTCTAAGTTGCTTCTCTCCTTGATGAGTTTCCATCCGTTGCTTCTTGTCCTGCTCTCAGGTGCTTTGGAGATTAGCTTGACTCCCTCTTCTCTGGGGCAGCCCCTGAGATATTGGAAGACTGCTATCATGTCTCCCCTAGTCTTTCTTTTCATCAGACTAGACATACCCAGTTCCTGCAACCGTTCTTCATTTGTTTTAGTCTCCAGCCCCCTAATAATCTTTGTTGCTCTTCTCTGCACTCTTTCTAGAGTCTCAACATCTTTTTACATCGTGTCTAAGGTCCCTCCCAATTCTGTTATTTAACAAGAATATAAGGGGATCGGAGTGGCAGTGCAGTTTCAGAGACCGGGTGCATGTGTGTGTGTGTGTGTGTGTGTCTCCCCTCCATCCCAAGACCCTCTTTTCAGCAGGCAGCTCACCAACGACATCCATCGCCCATCCCCTTGGACGTCGATGACCGGGGTTGGAGTGCTGGCGGGGTTCTTGTCACCATCACTCATGGTCCCTTGCAGATCCTAAGGAGACAAAGCAGAGAATAAGGGACTCGATTCCTGCCCACCCCACAGCACATCCCACAATAGACCCCGATTGCTCCTCATCCAAAGAATAGCTGGACCTGCCTGCAGCCCAGGAACGTCGTCCAGGAACAATACAGATAGGCGGTGCCAGTCACTGTTCTCCCCCTCGCCAGTGGTTTCGTCCATTCATTCCCCCCCTCCACCTTACAAAGCTTGGGCGGTACCATTCCTCAAAAAAAGGGGAAACGTAAACCTATTCTGTTGCAATCCCTGTAGGGCTGTCCTTTTTTGTGTGTTTGTTTTCCCCGGCGCGAATAGCGCTAGAGAGGTAACTGTCAGCCATTCCTATTTCCACCCCGGCAAAAGACGAAATTTCTCTGCAGTGTTTTTGATACTACAAGCCTTGCACCCATCATTTGCACCAATGCCATCAATCCGTACAGTAGTGGATCAATGCATCCATGCATAGAAAAGGGTGGAGGGAGACGAGGAGGATGACCCCCCCCCCC